AGAACTAAAATCTTCAATTGATCATGAATTTAATAATGTACCTTCCATAGAAAAAAAGAAAGGAAGAAAGAAATTTGTCTTGTTGAGTACCTGCGGACGACGACACAACTTTGCTCATTTTCTGTAGTGTCAAGTTTTTTTTTAAATCGTTTACTAAATTTCTATCTATCATTCTAATTGATTAAAATTGGGTAAAAAGCGTTTTTAATATCCTAGAAATCGACATTCGTGTGCCTGTGTGCAGTGGTCCTCCTCTCCGCTAGTTCTCCATGCACTCGCGGATATTTTGATATCACCATTGCGCCTCTTCTATGCCCGCAAGTGCCTATCTCAGAAATTGAAGGCGAAATACCATTCTGTTCATTGCTTTATCATCAGGGTACTTCCCCTGCAAGTTTAACCGTGTCAAATTCGGCTATTCAATAGAGGATCAAAAAAATAGAAGGGAGATATTCTACATTACTCAAATGTGTAGTAAGATGAAAATTGAAGGTTGATTTCTGTGTCAGCAGCTTTTATTACATTTGTTCCCTGAAAAAATTGAACCAAACATGTTATCATGGAGCCAGAGGATGGAGGATGAATTTAACGGCTGGAATTTTAGACTTACTTCTTCCTTTATCTCAATTGAGTTTTAAGTTTTGCTAGTCTGGTCGCTTCCAGATCTATCTTTGGGCTATAAAAGTCCATCAATAATTTATTTTGTCCCAAACCGTGGCTCACCTCTTTTTTTCTCAACATTCCTCGGTAAAAATTACTCATAGTGCCACTGAATTTTTGCCTGTGGGCGTCGGGATGTGCTGTAAATTTGGATCTAGAGCAAATGTTGCTATGAGCTCTCAGTGTGACTCATATTGCCGTGCTAAGGAAAAACGTCTTATGAACATTCGGTAGTTGCCAAATTTCCCTGGATAGAACATGTATATTTGAGAAAAGTTACGCATATCTTTGTTTTAAATTTTCATATATTCTAGATTAAATGCGAACAAATTTGTCCATAAAATGCGAAGAAAATTATTCACAATTTTCCCAGAAAATTCGTCATTTATTTATGGGAATATGGCGACAACTGTAGGCTCATACGGCGTTTTTTCTTATACCACGGCAGCATCGGAGATGGAAAATATTTATTGACAATTTTTAAAAGTAGCTCCGTAATGGCTTGTACCAAAAATATTCAAACATATCATGAAAAACTTATAAAAATTTCATAAATATTATGCTCAAATACCGTCCTCGCCCAAATCTAGAGATTGCACGGTTAAGGCATAGATCCATGTACTTTTCGATGAATTACTTTTTACAGGTGAAAATATAAATTTAACCTTGGCTACGCACTCAATTTTTTATCTTTCGCTATTTTTAATCACACGATGCTATAAATATTTGAAATGCGGATCATTGCGTACAGCACTCACAAAGAAAAATATTTTTGCACCATGGACGGACGCACCGTGCCTTCGGTTGCGTCACAGACTGACGTTGGATGCGTCACGGCAGGGGCTCACATTTTTCGCGCACGCATTTTTCTCACTTCCCGCGAACAAGATTTCCCTCGAATGAAAATATGTGCGTAGCTCATTTTTATCACAATGGCTGTATTGGCGTCGATGGAGTCTCCGTCGGGAGAAAAAATGAAAAAAAAAAGGTGAGAGGAAAATGTGGATCTGTGGCTCGGAGAGTGCAGGCGCGAATTTTCGCGTCATTCGGCTCGGCATTACGCGAGCCGGGACTACACGTCGCTCCTCAGACGTTTGCGAGTCCTCATTTCCCCGTGAGCCGCGTCGGTCGAATAACTTCATGCTTCCCGCGGCTTTCGAGGAAATTCAAGTGCGTCTTTGCGTCACAGAGGTGCGACGTATTGAGTTCAGTTTCGTCGGGAGGGTAATTATGTGACGACCATTACGTAACGGCGTCGCGCTATGCAGCTGATGAGCCGGTGACATGATGTTCTGACTGCGGCTTGCGAATTGTGCAATCCAGGCGACGACAAAATCATCTCTCTCGCCAAAATCCTAATCGAAAGCGATCGATGGCGATAATCAATGCGGCCAACGCACCCGTGGACGAATGACCTAGGTCAGTTCCATCGGATCGGTCCTGGTTACTCAAGCCGATCACCACGCAAAAACGCCGTATGAGCCTTCAGACGTGGCCAACTTCCCTTTGACAAATCGCAAACTTTCGGGAAAATTTGGGAGTGTTTTTTTTTTTTTCGCTTTTTCAGAGAATTTTGTTCGTGATTTGATCTGAGGGGTCTGAAAATTCCAAGGAAAAATATTCATAACTTTCTTCAAAAATGCGCACTTCCCGAGAGGGAATTTAGCAAAATTCGAATGCTCTTGAGGCGTTAACCCTTACTCCTTAGTACGGCGGATGAGTGGAGGCGTGATATAATTGGACGTATTTCTGTCAAACGAAACTATTTTCATTAAGACATGAGCCCTGAGACCCATAAGAATATTTGCATAACAGGGCTCACGTCATAATGCACGTAGTTCCGTTTCACAGAGATACGTCCAATTATCGTGGCAATGAAAGGTGATTTCACGCGTTATCATCTTCAATCTACAGATTCGAAATATTAAGAGTGATTATCTAGCGGTTTGCGGAATCCCCTCTTTGTAATGAATTTTGTGCTTCCATATGTATCATGGCCAGTATGATTTTTATTGCACGTAGAGAACACAGGAAGAAGAGGTAGAGAATAAAGACAGAAATATTGTGGCATTCTTTAAAAATCATTGAATATTGATGGTAAAAATCGGAACAAAGTGCTTCCCTTGCAACGTTAAAAATTGGCTGATCATGTTTCATCCTCATAAAAAAGTAGTAACAAAAATATATCCTTTAAATTCTCCGGGAATATGTATCCCTGGTAAAAATTGGCGATAAGAGCTGCGTTTCAAAATACCATTGGAATTCTTACAGCCGGCTAAAGAAGGCTACAGAAAATCATATAGTTGGCTGTAGAATGCGAAGAAAATCATACGGCCGGGCTATACGAAGCGATAAAAAATTATGCAGCCGGGCTATAGTTCCTATCGCCGGGCTTTACACTTTATCGCCTGGCTGTTGCTTTTTCGCCATCGATTATAAAAGGCTATAAGAAATTGTGTAGAAATTCGTGTGCTTTGGAAATCATTTAGTTCGATACAAAACCACCTTAATATTTACAATACACACGTTATATTTTCCTTTAATACATATTTTTTTCATCAATTAAAACGAGAATAATCCATACAGGATGTGCAAACATTTCAAAATTATGAGTTGAATAACGCTGACTCCGCCAGATTAAATATTAGAGCCTAACACAAAACGGAGCGGCGACGCACTGGCGCCTACAAACCTAACAGGGATACTTCACGCATTGCGCAACGCGTGAAGTATCTCTGTTAGGTTTTGTAGGCGCCAATGCGCGTTTCGCGCTGGCTACCCGCGCCGCAGCGTGCCACGGCGCTTGAAGCAACTATTTCACACTAGAGGTATTGCATAGTATCATACGAAACTGAAGGCGCTCTAGTATATTAGGAATGGCAGGCATCCATCAAAAGTACGGAGCTTTCCTCGCAAAATAAATCAAAATACTACGGCCCAAAAAGAGAGCAGTGGTCCAAAAACTCACTCAGTCCTAGCATCCGTAATTAGTGACGTTTAGCATACACTTTATCACCTGGCTGTGAGTTGCTTAATCGCCATCGGCTATAAAAAGCTATAAGAAATTGTGTAGACGGCTATAGAAGCTATTGGAAATCTTGCAGCCGGCCGTAGGTCTATGGTATTTTGGAACACAGATTCTACTGCCAATTTTTACCAGGGTGCATGAGTGATGAACATTCACAGAAAAGATTAAGAAGGACTGTTGGCTATTTAGCCTTTCATTGAGAAAAATTAACATGAGCTGTGCTGTGGTACGCAACGATTCAACTTACGCAGCGAGGGAGACTGGTATTTCGCCTTCAATTTGGGGGACAGGCAAAAACGGTCCCGCGGGAATTTCTTTAGTTGTATCAAAATATGCATGACTTGGGTGCAGGCGCGAGCACTCCTCATGGAAACAAGAGAAGAGAGTCCTTTCTTACGTGCTTTACGGATATTTTTTGGTGGGTCAATCTATTTCTCTACTTAATTTAAACTTGGAGACTTACTTATTTAGAGAAATTTTTGTAGGCACAGAATATGAAGAAAAATAATAATAATATTTTAACGGATAAAAAATAGTTTGAAGAAAATATAAACGAAATTCAAATTTTTGGGTGCGAGAAAAATTAACCAAATTGTATCACTTTACGTCGTTACTCCAAGGAAGCAAACCGCTTGTTTCATAGAAAACATTCATCAACTTCAACTTTTTAAAAAAAATTATAGTTTGTGTTCTTATCATACTCTTAGAATTCATCGTGATGTTCTGTCTCATTATTATCTCTTCTTTTTTTTCCTCTTATTTTTCTTTTTCGCCTTTTTCTCATTCCTCCTCTGCTATCTCTTCTCCACCCCTTCCTCCTCATCCCCCTCCCCCTATCCTTCCTCCTTCTTTATCTCAGTGAAAAATAAGTCATTTCCGTGATGCGTTCTAAGTCGAAAAAATTAAAATGAATTATTCAATTGACTATAGCCTAATACATTTTTTTTTTTTTACCATGAAAACGATCATAAATGACTGGACTACATTTTTCTGAGGAATTCTAAGCAGCGTGAACAATCCTGCACATCTCAATCGTGTTGGAAAAAAAAACAAAAAAAAAAAATTTAAAAAAAAACCCTAAAATTTACAGTGCCGAATTATGTTAAATTCATGTCACTAGTTTTTTGGCAGGATAAATTTAAGAGCAGGGGGGCTGTCCATCGGAACGTTTTTTTTTTACGAAGCTCATGTCGGTGCGGTGCAGTGTGGCGGTGACAAGTGACTTGAACCCGCCCTCCCGCCGCCGCTGGAAAACAAGGGTGGGAAGAGGAGGGGCCACATGTAGCAGACGAGTTCCCTCTATGCCGGCCCGGAGTCAGTCAGATGCTGTAGTTGCCACTAGAAGCACGTCTCTCTGCGTTTCGTCCAGTTCGCGATCGCGAATTTTTTTAACCTGGTGAAGACAAAAAAATTTCTTTGTCACATCCTCACTGACTCGGATCTGAATTTGTTTAATGTTAAAAAATTAGCAGCGAAGATTACTCTCCGATAGCTCGACGAAACTTGTATAATTTTTTCTGTACATCGGTTTTCGTGGATTCATTAACTACATTGGATTCAGTGGTGAATTTAAGTGCAACTTTTAATTGTGTAACTGTTGGAATTCCTCACATTGCAACCTGCTATCCACTCCGCCTCACATCAGAGTGGATTTTCATAGTGCATCGTCCAGTCACTCGCCTGTTCGTGGTCAAATCTTCCAATATTTTGTCGGACAACCGGAATTTTAGTGTCCAGAAATTTTAGGAAATAAAAATTCCTCTTCTAAAGTTTGACATTCGTGCGAAAAGTTGATGATTCCTGCCGTATTTGATGTTTTAATGTTTAAGTTCATCTAGTCTTGGAATACGGTTCCAATGCGCGTTTTAAAATGTGAAGCGTTTCTCACTGGGATCGCATAATTTTTTACGCGTTCCTGCGGCAATTTTGTCGTTTCTTTCGACCGAGAGTGAAAACTTGCGCCGATGGAATGTCATCTTAGGAGTGCACGCTAGCTGCCGGCGCTTAATTTGTTTTTAACTGCATTTGGATACGTTCGTCACGCATAATTACCAGGAGTGATAGTTGCTGTCGGTCGTTGTATGTGTTTTTCTTGACATGGCAGAAATATTCGGTCTGATGGCCCCTAAGGATTTATCACCCCTCATTACTGGTAAGACTTTAAGTTCTTCTTTACTTATCATCACAATGAGCTCAAAATGACATTCTATGTATACATGTATATTTCGATATGATGTATGCACGTCATTCACATCTGCTAGCTTGTAAGATACCTGGGCGCTGTTAAACCAATTTATCTTTGGAGGGGGGTGGGGGGGGTGCGGAAACCATTTTACATTTTACAGAAGTCTAATCGTATTGAGCGATTACATACGACCAATACTTTTCTGGTAGAAGCAACATTAGTGGGAGGGGAGTGGGGTCTTTAGCCCCCCCCTCCCCCGCCACAAGGGTCCTTCTTCCTTCGCTCATCAAGAAATATAGGGATCGGTACACGGGGCAATGTAAAATGTACTAACTGATGGCAGAAGTAAAGAAGCTGAGCCAGAAAACCCGCTGTTATCATGAAGAAGAGGGACACAGTATAATGTGTAAACATTACAATCGAAACTGTGAACAATATTTTCGAAATAAAAGGAGTTGATGTTTTGGGTGTCATAAAACTGAAAGTAAATAAGAGGCTTTAGTACCAGTATGTCAGGTTGTCTTCAGGGTCGAAGGGACCTGAGATCGCGAAAAAGCGCCGAAGTATCGTTTTGAGTGGATGCGCATTTTTTTGGAAAGGAACGGCAGGTGTCGATGAGAGGCAATGTCCTGACATTTCAACCCCTGTTACAATTCACGCATTGTAATCTGAAAGTAATATTTTCAACTCGGCGTTCAATGTAGAAGGCAAGTAAATGTCGCAGCGCGCCAAAGAGCATTGTGAAAGCGGCTTTTATATGAGATACATACGCTGAATTTAAGTCCCACTTACGATGTAAGAATCATTTCTTTCAATTATACCGGTATTAACGCCTATTCGAGTGAGATATAGGACTTACCTACACGTATAGTACGTTTCTCAAAAATACAGAATCCGTATCACGTCGTCATGATTCAAGGGAAGATGTTGGGAGCTCTACCTGTTTTTTGCATCGCTTGACTCTCCTCCCTTGATTAGGGTAGGTGTCCATTTTTCGCAGGAAAATTGTAATACTACCAGGTCCATTATCAAATGCCGGAATAAAATATTGAATTTGCGGATAATTGAAATCACCGAGCAAAAGTATCTATACAGGTGCAAAGGGGTTGAAAAAATCACACGGATTCTTGGAAGCATTAGTTTGGACAATCAGCTAGCCTTCTTCTTATTGACGTCCAAGTTTTTTTCCTACTTTTTTCGAATGTGTCTATACTAATACCCGTTGTTCTTCACGTGGTTCAAAAATAACAACGCATCCTTCGCTAAAATTCAAATGACAAGTGCATGTTTGCACGTGCAAAGCTTCGAAAACCTCTTTCCTCATTCTCTGCGAGACGTTTTTTTGTCGCGTCAAAAGCACGGTGTCAGTGTTGGCTATAGCTCTCAATTTCAAAATGTGATAGCGCAGCGTTTATATGAAAAAAATACCTGCATTTTTTGGTTCATTATAATCACCCACAAAGGTATTTTTGCAAATTCCCACAAAAACCGCTGTTCAATTGACAGTCGTCAAATAGAAAGACTATTTACAAAGAGTCTTGAAAAAAATGTTTCTTCTGAAGCACTTTAATGAGCCTACGACACAGTGTTTTTCAAAAAGTCCTTAGTAGATAAATTTGATGTGTGTGGAGCGTCACGCACTCTTCTGACGAGACATAGTTATCTTCCAAGGAGAGATATTCATGCCCACCAAAAAGTACTATGAATAAAAATAAATGAAAATTAGTAGGTAGAATGAACATTCTAGTCCTGCCGAAAACTCACCATTCTAACAAGTCGCTCGCTGACCGATGTGTCTGATGGTTAAGAGGGCTTAAGTATGCATAGTCAACGTAATGTAATCGTAAGCCTTCACATGAAGAAACGCATTCATAGCCTTTCGTTAAAGTCATTCCAGCGTGTAATTGCAAACATCCAAGTGAGAGGTGTACACACTCACCAACTTCAAAAGGTAGAACAAATGGAAAAAATATATCAATGCTTGTAATTAAATACGAAGAAAATGGAAAGTTCTAAGAGGGTTTTGTAATGTAATTTAGGCATGCAAAAATTTGCCTCTCGGTTAGCATTTGATAGTCATGGAAAAGCAAGTAAATTAAACGATATCTGTGAAAATTTTAGCGATCCCTCCAATATTCATCATATTCCACATCTCATTTGCAACTGAAGTTGTCTCGCCATTCCGCGGAGATTGATGCTGTCTTCTAAGTGCAGTTCTTAATTTTGCATATCAGGCATTGTATCCTTTTGAAACCTCGCCTGGTCTTGTTTCGGCGACCTGAGGAAGAGCTTTGCAGCATGGGAAATTCTACCTAAGCCATTTTTAACATTATGGAATTGTTAACATGAGGAATTCCTTAACACGCTGATTCAAATATTACCAAACAAAGCGACTTCCAGTACCTATCATTCCCTCTTATCTACCTTTTCTACACATAGGTCACATGACTTTTACAGTGCGCAGTTCAGCCTAAATGGAACTCTTCACAGCTTCAGGAACACTGTCGAATTTTTTTCGATTTTATCCAGGAAAAACTGTAAATCAGCAGTAAATCTTCCATAAAGATTTGTTATAATCTTTTTTTATTTTTATTTTTCTTGCACTCCTTTATAGATGCTCTGATGCCTGAACGTACCAGAGTTTACAGTCAAGATGGATGACGTGGTGTTTGGGAATGTCGGTGGACGAAAAGGCTGACGCGTCATCATTTTGCGCATCAGATTTTTGCTTAACATATTGTAACTTTTCTCACGTTTTAGATCTTCAATATACCTCGTTCAGTGAAGAATACTTTTTCGTGACCGGTGAAAATTTTTCTAATCTTCTAATAAGATTTTAATAATATCGAAAATACGCACATTTATCATCAATAATTCTGGTCCAGCTTTTAAAAGGGAAAGTATAGATATTAATTTTTCGGTCCGTTTTTCACCTGATCCCTCATTTTGAGTTCTGTTCTCCCTCTGATGTTTTTAAGTGGATTCAAGTCTCATCGATCGTAAAAAAACAGTTGCTCATTTCCAATCCATTCTCGTTTCAAAACCGAACGTTTCTGAACCAAGCTTGGTAGTAAGTACTATTTGTATAACTCGTGCATTCTTGATGCGCTAATTTGTCAGTTTTATGAATTTTACATATCCTGTCTCTCTCCCCCCCCCCCTTTTTAACTCCTTTCCGCAAGTAACGCGCATTATCCTCAAACTCTTTGATTATAAGAGGTTTTAATCCTCTATTTTTCCTGGAAAATAGTTCATTTTCAGGAACTTGAGTAAATCCTTCTTCGGTCACGCTCAGTGAGTCTTTATACTTGTTCACGTTATCGACCGACAAATGCAAAACTATAATCGCACCTCACCCAAAAAAATATTTCAAATTTTTTCATTCCGCCCTAATGAAAGGATCTCTGTAGTTCGTATACGAGTATTCCGTCTCATTATTTATTATTACGGGTTATTTCATCGGTGATTCTGTCACAACACGACATCTGTAGTAACTTATAATTACTTTTTTATGAATTTTTTTTTTTTTTTTTTTTTTTTTTTTTTTTTTAAGAAGCGGAAGACAGTTTGCGGCTGCTTTATACTTCTATTAATTTTATCACTGCATTAGGCAGCCAATCGGATGATTAGGGTCAGGCAAAGGGACAAATGGACTACATTTTGCAATTTGGAGCTATAGATTCTAGCCCGGTTTAAAAGCAACGTATGTGCCATCAGTTTCCCTATGCACATAACCGTTTTTCCGGAAGAGCCAGAATTTATAGTTCGAAATTGCGAAATGCGGTCCACATCTCTCACTGAAATAAAATGTAAATCTGTATTGAGTACTCACTCAAGTACGTAAAAGTATAAACGGCGCGCCAATTGGCGCGAAAAAGTCACGGACATCGAACAAACGATCCGCCCATACTTCAGTATCGTGCGCTTGGGCAACAGTCGCCTTCAATATGATGAATATACAACCCCTTGACAGCCGTGTTCAAATAGTTATCGCTTGCAAGATAAGGGGGATTTTGAAGCCGACCGTTATTTTTACAGCTAGAAAAACGCTTTGAACCCCGAGAACAGCTCACACTGCGAGGCTCTCATTAAATTTTTTAAAAGCGCATGCTGCTTTAGCCTGTTTTTTATCAATAATTGTTTTCAGTGGTTATAGGCAGAGGAGAGAAAAGATACTCGATTTTGTGTGCGGTTCCACGATTCAGTATCATCTCAGTTAGGACAGAGTGCTTCGCTAATTTTGTCATAATATTGCCAACCTTTTCGGTTACCTAGTTTATTTCTTTAGAAATTAAGTATTATTTCAATTTTTCTTCGTATACTTTTTCTCAATAAAGTGAAGAAAGAATATTCATAGAATATTACCAAAATCAGCATTTAAATAAAAATAATAAAAAAATATCGGTATTTGAATGGTGAGTAAACATTTCAGTATAACATATCCTATAACGAATAATTGCCAAATAGTGAAAGATAGCATCAATGTTGCAGCTAGTCTTTTCACAATAAAACTGCCGAAAGCTCAAAAAAAAAATAAATAAATAAATAAATAAAAAGAATAACAAGATACTCAGTAAATATTGGTTCAATATCACCATAATGATTAATGCCACGTTTTCAGCCCTGAATTTATATGAACGTAATACTGAGTCCATAAATTCAAGAATATTGCCTAGAGTGTAAACCAAATATTGCCGAAATATTCTTGCCTTTACCGAGATTGCACCATGCAGAAGATGTACTTTCGCATAGTTGGACTGCGTTGAGCAGGCAGGAAGCAAGCCACACCAGTTATTGCCAAATATAATCGGGCAATTTAATTTTTTACATGATAACGGTTTTGCGGATTTTCGCGCGAGTTTCGGTGAATTTTCTGCATAGTACGCAGCAAATTCCTTAAACTTTTCGAAGGTATCCGCCCAAACATTCTCTTGTAAAAAATTAAATTGCCCAGTTAAAGGCAATAG